GTTTTCTGATTAGCTCTGAAAATAACTGCCTGACATTCGCCTTGCAGTTTTGTAATTATGTCAGTGATAACATGGAAGGCACATCCTGATACACCCACTCTTGAGATGAAGTCCTTGCCCTTTTACAAGCAAAAAATTATCCCCAGTTGGAAAGACCAAGTTCGATCCTGGTCTGTTGCAAAGCTTGGAAAACTTGCTCCCAAATCCAGAGTCCACATGGCCAGTGGACATATTGTCTGGGTAATTACAGAAGCTATACTCTAAAGAGTAATTTAAATAACTGTTTTCCCATAAAAAGTAATTGCTTCACAAGACACAGATGTCTATTTACTATATATTGTCATCTAAAAGTTGATCTCATGTATAAGTCAAAAGTAGGTTAAGGGGGCCAAAATTATGAATTTGATACAATTGATAAGTGAAAGGTCATTCTGCAGCGAGGGGAAGGTACCAGTGCTGCCACAGTGGACCAGCTGCCACCACCAATTTCATACCCAGGCTAGAAGTGAGGAGAAGATATTGATATTTCTTTTCGTTTCTCCCGAGAGAAACTTGCCCTTTGTCACTCCATTCAGAGAAAGTGATGGTTCCTTGTTTTGATAAGGGTTAAGGGACAGTACGTACACTGACCCATGGATAAGTCAACCCAGGTTTTAAAGGTTTGTTTTTTGACTAAAATTTCTAGACTTATACATGAGAATGCACAGTATCTAACATATTCTTTAAAAAAACTTTAAAAACATATACAAACTACAATTGACATCCCTGCTAGTTCTGTAGAGTAAGTCACTTGCAAGGTGGAACAATGGTTTTCCAGTCATGTCCCAGTGTTCCTCAGAACTTTAACAAGGCTCCCCCATGAGAAAATCATTTAAGTATTGTACAGGTTTCCCTAAGAACTCAATGAACCACCACTACTAAACATTCTGCAGAGAAATATTGTGGATGGAGTAGAATTCTGGGTGAACTTTCAAGTCATATACTGACAGAGGATTTACTCACCCCCATCACACAGGATCGCCTCCTCTCCTTTCTAGTGCAATCATTTCAAGAATACAAACAAACTTCTTTCCATGACATCATCTTCTTCAAACCCATACTCTCAAGGAGACAGGTATCCTTTTTGAAATAACACTTTCCATGGGATCTTCCCCCTTAAACCCTTACACTAAAGGAGGCAGGCATTCTTTTTGAAACATTTATTTCCATGGGATCTTCTGCTTTAAACCCCTATTCTGACTGAGAATGGCACACTTTTCAAAGCACTTCTTTCAATGGGATCCACACTGTCTTTAAACCACTAATGGAAACAAAAGGAGGCTTAGCAGACCTGCCACATGAACTCTTGTGCTGAAATATCACACAGTAATCGGACAAATCCACCACTTTCCATCCCAAGAAAAAATATATCTTTAAGCATTTCTATGCATAGGGAAAGGAGTGGAGTTGATTTCTGCCCATATATGGAATCCTCCAGTTTCTACATGCTGCGGAGCATCTACCAGTTGCAGACCTGAGTCACTTGATGGGCACTGTAGGATTCTGTCTTTGAAGTGTGTAGAAACAGAAGAAACCTTGCATATGATGAGATATTCCATCTAATTTGCATCCTTACTGAATTGACTATGTGTGTACAACATGTCCAAGAAACCTCTTACAATGTGTAGGGCTCCTTTGGCAGACAAGTTTGTATGGGAAGAGGAAGAAAGTTAAACACATGGTAGAAAATAACCATCTATCCCCACTACAGTAGTAGTTGATATATTTATTTGCTTCATTTATACCCCACCTTTCCCATCCCACAGGGGACTCAAAACAGCTTACAGACACTGGCAAAAGAACACAGGAAGGTGTTTCACAAGCACTCAAGTCACTGATCTACCTGGCCAAACTTTGATAGCACTAACATGGCTTCATAGGGTTTTATGCCAGATTCTTTCCTAACCTTACCTGCAGATCCTTATAACTAAACTTTTTGTTTTTGCTCTCCCACTAAGTCCCTCTCTCCATGCTTTGGCAGTATCAAACACACCGTTCAAAGAAATCAAAGGAACATCTCTTTTTTTGGTAGAAAAGTAATGCAGAAGAAGAAGTAAAATTAAAGGTTCTCCTTAGCATTTCAAACAGAAAGACATAAAATAGTTTTAGTGAAGCCTGTTAGGATTAGATATTGTGCAGAGGGGTTTATTTAATATACTTTAGAACAAATCAAACAAATGTGCTTTTTGCAGACAACTTGTAACCCCTCTTAAGCTGCACAAGAATGCACCCCCAAAATAGAGGATATATTTAAGGGGATCTCCCCACACTGCTTCCTTCGCCCTTTTCCATGAAATATCATTATCAATGGTTTGTGCTTTTAGAAAAATGTTTCAAAATCACCAATCAAGTTTTAAATTTAAAAAACAGCTTGCTTTCTGATAGGGATAGCAAATGTGGTCGATTTATTCCATAAAGCTTTATGTACACAGCAGCAGCATCCATGAATGTAATGATCATAATATAGAGTCTAAAGGGTAATTTTTATTGTGATTTATAGCAAGATAGCATGTACTTCAGAGTTTTCAGACTTTATTGAGATTTTATGGGACTGTGCAGCTTACACTGTTAACTCTGTGTTCTTTTTCACTCCAAGGAAGGTGGGATTTGCTCCCATACATTCATTTGACTACCATAGGTTGTTAATTACTCTATTTAATCAAAGTCATTATTTAAAACAACCTTACAAGTAAAGTTGCTAAGACTACAAGAGAGTCACTATATATAGCCATAGAAAATTTGAACTCACATGTTTCAATTTGAATAGAACAGTGTAGAATTCAGACCCATTTACTAGAAATCAAATTCTTAAAGGTGTTAAGAGCTATCCAGTATCGAATATATAACCATTTCACCATCCAATATAAAACAAAGCAATGGAAAGAAAAGGTATTATAGATTGGAGTATAGTATTTCTAAACTGGGTTTCTAGTCTAGTCATTTCGACATAGCTAAAAGTGATTATGTCCATACAGTTCTTCCTGTCCTTAGGCCTGCAAAATGCTTGCACTTCATTTTCCCCTGACAATCTAGGGTGAACTACAACTTTAAAACCTGTGTCTCCTTCACTGACATTTCCTTTAGCATACTAATGGTTCATCTAGGCCCCCTGAGTTTAAAATCCTGCTGATAAATACCAGGTCTGTAAATGGTAAAATTGTTGCCATTCAAGACTTGATTTGGGATGAGTATGTAGACATGGCCTGCATCACTGAGACCTAGCTGGATGATATGGGGAGGGGGTGTGTTAATCTCTCCCAGCCTTATCCACCGGATTTCAGGGTGCATCAGCAGGCGAGATCTGGGGGCAATGAGGCAGAGTCGCAGTAGTCTACTGGAAATCCATTTCCTTGATCAGGTGTCCCATCCCGCAATCACTCAGTTTCAAATATGTCTACCTCAGAGTGGGTAACCAGGACAGATTAAAGATTCTATTTGTGCTCAACAGTCTCCCTACCTGAGCTAGCTGGAGTGAATGCCAATTTTGATGCAGTACCAATGGATGTACGTGAGGTATCTATCTGCTTGTCCTTTTTTAATGGATTTGTTTCAACTTGTTCAGCCTGATGACATGGACAAGATTCTTAAAGTGGTAAGGGCGACCACCTGCTCTGGACCCTTACACTTTTTGGCTTATTAAAGAAGAAGCCAGGGGAGGGCTGGCCGAATGGATCTGGAATAATATTAATGCTTCCCTGGTACAGGGACAATTTCCAACCTGCCTTAAAATGGCAGTAATTAGACAATTTATGAAAAAAAATATGGATCTCCTGTCGTTAGACAAGTATTGGTCTATTTCTAACCTTCATTTTCTGGGCAAGATTCTTGAGTGGGTAGTCACTACACAACTCCAGGATTTCTTGAATGAAGCCAATTATCTGGATCCATCACAGTCTGGGTTTAGTCCTGGTTACGGAACAGAGACAGTTTTGGTCACCTTGGTGGATGACCTCTGCAAGAACTAGACAGGGAGAGTGCATCCCTGTTGGTTCCCAGGCTAATTTTAGGGAAATGTTACATACATTCATTAGAAAAATCTGCATTTTTCTATTTCAGGTTTTACAGAAGCAATTTCCATGTTTTTAATCAGCTAACAATCTCTGGTCCCTTCTTACTTGTTGTCATCAGTTGTCTCAGCATCCCAGCATCCTTCCCCTAAAATAATCAATTCAGGGTATTTGTTCTAGATTTTCTGCAGATAGATTATAACTATTTCTTTAGCTTATCTTGAATCTTTTTAACCATTCTAGGCAGTTGTTCATCCAACAATCTAGCATTTGTACTTGGTACTATTGGTCCACTAAATCATTTTCTATATCCCATATGTTATGACTTTCTAGACCTTATACAATTTTTCCTGACCTGTGGTGCAACATTGTAGCTAGACGCTATTGTGAATTTCACTGAAGCATTTGGGGAAAATCTTTTTTATTCGTGTCTTCTTGCTGTTACAAAGGCTGCCATATTCACTTAGACCCAACATACCATCTGTAATGCATTTCAATTTCTGATCTCGGCTCTCAAACCACTGAACAACAACGAAGTTTGTGAGTTTCTGTAGTTGCTCACTGTAATGTGGTGGTAAGCAACTGGTATTAAGCACTGACTACTCTCATCCCAAGAGTAGTCCCTAAAATCTCCACAAAGCAATTGGAATTACTGGCTTCCTTGTTAGAGGGGTAATGGATCTGCTCCAAGTTGCAAACTTTAAAGAAGTCAAGGCATTGAAATTTATCATCAAAAAAGTTTCGCATAAAATGACTCCTTCAAAAAGCAGGCTAAAGCTAGCAAAAACAAAGCATCTATATTTAAACTGTTTTCTAAAATGTTCATATGTAACTAAATCTAAGAAAAATGCCAGGTTTGTAAAGTTCTTAGCCATTCCCATATGATCCAGAAAATAGTCATTAACCTAGACTTCATTGTTGTGCACAAATGCATTTTATATGAGGAAATCTTACCTTTCATGTGATTTCTCCCATCTTCCAGTAGCGGTACTACTATAGTGTTGTTCACATTCCCTGGTGATCTCACAGCTGTGTAGACCACAGGTACAGATTGTACCACCACTGGAATGCGGTGTACATGACTCATTTTGTTGGTCTGTAGGTTCATAGGGCTTGAAGGAGGTACTGGATGGATTATGTGCAAAAACTGCTGCCCTCCAACACCTGACGCAGATGCCACAAGTGGTCCTGGAGTTAATACTGATGGAGCAGAGGCTGCTGAAGATACTGACGTGATTACTGTTGGTGATGAAGCTGGACGACTAGAAGAAGTAGAAATAGAAGAGGGAGAAGAAGCTGAGGCAGTGATGGATACTGGTGAAGATGAAGCAGCAATGGGGGATGATCGGGCTTTGTTTATTGATAAGTCCACTGGCTCAGTCTGCGTTTGGAAATGGTCTGTGGGCAAAGAGTCTTCTTCTGAATCTGCCTTCATGCTGTTCAGCAACAGGGGTACAGCTTCCATATCTGGGTAACTATGAGTACTTGGAGACTGTGAATGGAAGAAAAGGAAAACAGGTCATTACCATTTGGAAGCTACTTTGAAAAACACTTGGTAAATCACTGTGTAGATTTATTTTAATTATTTCCTTTAAGGTAAAAAAGGAGACAAACAAAGAGAATTTGTAACTCAAGACAACCAAATATTTTCCCATTATAACCATCAGAGGGCAGATAAAAATTGATGAGAATGATAGCATCTATTGTTCTTTTTGCCTATCATTTTTAATATGAAAGTGTTCAGCTAGATGATGAGATGCAAAGTTAGGTTGCAGATGGCCACCCTCTTCATTGTTCCAGAATATCATAGGCCAACATCTGAGTCTGAAAATGCAGAGATTATGAGTCTACCACATTAGCGAAAAGGTTGAGTGGAGGGTAAAGTGAAAAAAATGCCAATCCCTCTAACTGCTTGCCAATGTGAAAACCAAGTTGGTGAGAGACAGAAGGATATTTCAAAAGACGTGTCCAGGGCCTCTCTAAAGTGAAGTCAGGGCTTACGTTCAATCAAAATTGATTATCTAAATTTTGAACAAGTTGGATCCATTGCTTCTTCTTACTTCATGGATGCACCGTATATTAAGCCCACCCTTTGACATTATAGTAGACACTTAGTATCTGCTGGGGTATGATTCCAGGTCCCCTTCAGATACCAAAATCAGTGGAACTTGAACGCCATCTTATACAATGGTGTAGTAGAATGGTGTCACTTATATAAAACAGCAAATCCAGGTTTATTTAAAAAAAAATAAAGCCATGGATGATCACAGCTATGTAAGAAGAATCAAAGAAGGGGTCACAGTGGGCCAACTGTATTCATGTACTGTAATTCCTCGTTACAGTATATAAACCCATTATCCAACTATTACCAGATTTAAGTGCCCTAGTTATTTCATGTAAATACAAAGTTTTCCTAAAAACATTCATGCCTGTATTTCAAATAAATTATCAATAATTCATTCCCTTTTTTGTGTAGAAAGTCCCAACAGTTCTAATTTTTTTTATTTAAAAAAACCTACTGTTTTATAGTTATCATCTTGCTACCAGGTTGTAGCAAGATGACATACCAAGTTTTTAATGGAAAGCAATTTACATTATTATTTCAAATTTATATACTGCAATACTGTCTGTTTCAACTTTACGGAAAGTCCCTAACACTCTTCTTTTCTGAACCATTCCCCATTTCATTTTTACTTCATTTGTCACCTGAATCATGCTTTCATATTAAGTGGAAGGTTAGACTCCCATTTCAATGGAGACCCTCTGCCTCAGAGAACTTAAAAAATAGTATGTAAATACTTCTTTTAAGAATGTGGAATAAGAATTTAATGAGAGAAAACACATATAAGGGCTTCTATTCACAACCTACTTAAACTTCCGGAGCTCAGATTCTCTCCATACCCCAAAACAAATTACCATATACATATATCAGTTTTAGAACTTTAGTTTGAAGAACTGGAAAGGGTTCAGAACCTCTAGTTTCCTTCCAGGCATGAACAGGGCTACCACAATTGCAAAGATCACTGTGTACATATTAGAGGCAGATAATAATTTTGAAAAGTGTGATAAAACCACTCTTTTTCTACATAGAGGCTGTATACCAGAGACAATTCTGGTTGCCTTGGGGGATAACCTGTGCTTGGTGGACAGGGAGAATATGCCCCTGCTGATTCTTCTGCAATTCTTGAGAAACTGCAAGTCACTTCTGGTGTAAGAGAATTGGCCATCTGCAAGGACATTGCCCAGGGGATGCCCGGATGTTTTGATGTTTTACCATCCTTGTGGGAGGCTTCTCTCATGTCCCTGCAATGGGGCGCTGGAGCGGATAGAGGAAGCTCATCCCACAAGGATGGTAAAACATCAAAACATCCGGGCATCCCCTGGGCAACATCCTTGCAGATGGCCAATTCTCTTACACCAGAAGTGACTTGCAGTTTCTCAAGTCGCTCCTGACACGACCAAAAAAAATATCTTATTATTTCAAATAAAATGAGGATCACTAACCATTGGTCATTGTTATTTTGGGTAGACTCGCATCAGAAACGCGTTCAGTTAGGTATTAATGGGCCATTAATAATTTGACTAATTTACCCTGAGAATGCATACTAGTTTATAACACATATTTTTATTCCTTTCTATTCTCCGGTGTATAGCAAATCCTCAGAACAGGAAAAGCCCACATTGCACAAATTATTATTGGGTCAAAAATTAGGATGAGTATATCAACCATATCTGTAAGAAGGCAGATTTAAATCTGATCCTCCAGAGACAAAGCTACAGCTACTCCTCTTGTTGACATATGCTTTCTTATGCCCAAATTACTTTGCTGTGCAAATTAGTACTGTCAAGCCCAAATATATTACAAATTAAAGGGGAGAAATATAGGCTTCTTTTTTCCCACACAGAAAATAATATCTTTACTTTGAGTATACACATAATTGCATATTATAGACTTGAAATTTTAATGGGATAAAACCAAATGCTGTGAAATGCAGCTGTTTTATCAAAATGATTTAGTGTCTTGTGAATTGGCTTCAATAAATCAAGCTCTTTATGACCCAATGAGATATAATATGATTATTTCAAAGGGAAGCAGCAAGGAAACAGAGGGAAAGCAAGCTTCTGTTCAGCATGATAGGATGGCTGCCTATGAATCTACTGACTCACTACTTCCTGGGGAGAAATCTCCACATGCCATGAGCTTTTGCTCATCCATGGAGAGCACAGAAAAACATTTTGAGCTGCTCTTACACAGCATTGAATACACTGAGTATAGAGATTTTTTTAAGTTATCCAGTTAACATTATGGTGAGCATCTACACCTTGTTTTACAAATTTAACTATAGAATTCTATTCATTTCTATTTAAGATGTTGCTGCACAAGGCTCTAAGATATGTCCTGGAATTGTAAACCCATGTCACTTTGAACTGGAGCACACCAGCATAACAACTGATCTCATCACACCAATGCTTTCCACAAGTGCTTTCAATAAACCCAAAAGTGCTTTTAGCTCACCACAGCTCCTCCCATTGCCCTGCTTGGTTCCCCCTTTTAATGGAAGATTGGGCAATTCCAAGAATTCAAATTCTCACAAGACTGGGACTTTGTGGTTAATTACTTCTGCAGTTTTCGAGATCACAAGCACTATCCTACAAACTATTAAAATATTATTTTAATAAATAATAAAAATGCATTTTGCAATGCCCAGGCTCTTAGAAGATGCACAAATTGGAACTTTTGCAAAATGGACTGGCAAACAGAAAGGAAACACTTTCAATCAATAAACAAATAAAGATGCATTTTGAATTACATGCTTTTTCCTATTTTGTGTATTCTGTGTGAGAGAGGTAAACTTATGATGGTCAAATCTTGCCTATGACTGCAAGAGGATGCATGAGTTAGAAAGTTTGCAAAATAGGCCTGCAAACAGCTGGATTTTTTGCAAAACAATGGGAACCAAACAGTAAGGAAGTGATTAATCAAGAGGAAAATCCCTATCACTGTCAAGAATTATCTACGAAACTGTACAGTTACTTGACTTTTTTTTAAACTTTAAATGGAAATGAACATGATCGAAGTGACAAGTTATGATTGGCAGACGGAGGTCCTCTAAGGCCACTCACTGGAAGTGGAGTGGCAAGCAGTTTAGAGATGAGGAAATGAAGCTGTTGCAAGTGATGCCACCAGCATTCTTATAATTACGTCACCATCCCCAAACTCACTGCTGAAATGCTTTTAGATTATCGCATCAGGTGAAAACACTTTGAATATCAATTCAAAAAACTTTCAGCTTCCTAAAATGGGCTTCCTCTGCTTATTGGAAAGTATTGCCTCAAAATGAGTTAAAATCTGGTTAGGAATGAGTTTAGAATGATGTCATGTGATCCTGAGTGCAGTGGTGCAATGGGTTAAAGGAGCCGTAGTGCTGGCTGAACTGCTGACCTGAAAGTTGGTGGTTCAAATCCACAAAACAGGGTGAGCTCCCATCTGTCAGCCCCAGCTTCCCATATGGGGACATGAGAGAAGTTTCTCACAGGATGATAACACATCCGGGCATCCCCTGGGCAACATCTCTTTAGACAGCTGATTCTCTCACACCAGAAGCGACTTGCAGAATGTTCAAAATTCGCTTCTGACATGATAAAAAAAATCCTGAGGGCTGCTGTTCAATACTAGTGAGCTTCAAATGTGCCATACAAGCCTCATGTGATAATCTCTTTAGAAACAAGATTCTAAAATTCTACTGGGCTCAAGAAAATTGACTTCCAGGTGAATACAGGTTCTTCTGCATTTCACCATGTTGACTTTATGGAATCCACGTTATTTCAAAATTTGATCTTAAATAAGGCATCCAGTAAAGAAGCCTAAACTTAAACCCTACAGATACGATCCATTAAGGAGGCAAATATTAAGTAAAAAGCAATATCATTTGAATTTTCTGGTTGCTGCTACTTCTCGGTTCCATTTTTCAAATTTCTATTTGCCACCACAAGTGACAGTGGAAAATCACATTTTACTAGTATATGGGATGTTATCACATCTCCAGCATTGTTATATCATCTGTAGCATGTACATTTAAGATGAAAGTAACAAGAGCAAAAGAAAAAATAGAAAAATGGCTGTGCACAGAAAGAGCAAGTGAGAAAAGAAATGGATATTTAACAGCATCAAAACAATACAGCTATATTTGCACCAAAAAAAAAAAAAAGAAGAAAAGAAAAGCAAACAACAGAGATGCTGGGTTGCTGTGAGTTTTCCGGGCTGTATGGCCATGTTCCAGAAGTATTTTCTCCTGACATTTCACCCACATCTATGGCAGGCTTCTCAGAATTAATGCAAACACAAAACTATGGGAGTATTTTTAACTCAATCCAGAAGAGATGTGTTAACTAGTTCATAAAAACATGCAGCATGCTTGTGGAAAAGAAATGACGAGGACTTTAATTTCACCTACTCTATATACTGTCTAAATCTAGAAATGTTAGTCAAAA